CCCAGAATACTCAACACCCAACTGTTACCTCAATACCATCAATGATGCCATCAATCATTAACGTTTAACCGACAACTTAATCCACTCTTTCTAAGGTGATCTACGTGCCTAAATGAGAAAACCTCATACTCCAGGTTCAACGTCACTACCTCCCTTCCTCACTGTTCCTTAGAACACTCTTGACCCCGATAAAATCAAATGGGGCTACCAACTAACCTACAAAATCAACCTCGTCCCAATCACTCCAATCATTAGTTTATCTCTTCGAATCCTCAAACAACAAGCACTATCTCCTGATACGCCAGATGCAATCTGAAATACAACCCGAATCCGCAGCTTTCATATTCTAGAACATAATTCATTTGATAATATAATACTCACCAACTATCACTTCATCCATAAACAACCAAACACTCCAATGACCTCATACTTCCTACCTTATTATGTAACCCTACCCTACACAGCGAAAACTAACCACCATACCTCACCTCGAGACCTTCTAAACAGCTACGCCAACCCAAAACCCCGTTCATCGACTGAGCCATGCAACCGACTCATTGAGAGTTGATTACCCGTAACACGCTCTTGTAACTATCCAAAATAAGAATCACTCCTCGACAAACCAACCTCTAGAACAGACTCCTGCAAGACCATGAAATGATCTATATTCCGCAAACGGATATAAATTACCGTGGACCTACATAATCCAACAAGTTCCCACGATAGTCAAAACCAACACACTTCCTTAAGCCATTTCAAAATGCTTAAAATACATCTTTGCAGTCCATAGACTACATTTGTGATTCAAATAACCCCCCATTACACCTAGCATAACCGGTTAGAAAAGAACCTCCATACTAAATCGTGATCTAAGTCGCAAACACAGACCACCTAAGGTCATACCGACACCCTCACTCGTACACTTAACCCCCATGGTCACCAGAACCCATACACCGACACATGAAACTCATACACAATAAGGGAACCTTGCCATGAAATATGAACCTATTTTAAAGTCATGCTCTAAGCACCGCACAAAATGCAACTAAGAAGATTAGGATGACTACACGCCAAATAGCTCAATCCACGAGCTAGAAGACCACGTCATTAGTTCGACAAGAACCGGCACCCAAACAACCCTGGAGCAACCGAGCACCTCACCTACTCAAGTTAAACATAACCCTCAATGCCGTGGCAAGTACCCCACCGTACTAGCAACCATCCCAGTGCTTAACCGTATAACCACATAAGGATATGGACATACATATATACAAAATAAATGAAACCCACAATACTACACGAAACACATTAGCATATACCATGCTCATTACTTGTCACATTACTATCTAAATTAGAACTGCACACACCGTGCTTACCACTTTTCATCACTATGTTCCTCATATACGATCAGCATGTTTTCCTTTTCTTTCACATTTCATTTACACAGTTAGATCATCTAATTATTCCTCGTACATGACCATGTAACATAAACTTTAGCATATAAATATATAAACATGTAAACAAATAGCAAGGAAGCATGTCCTTCAAAACTGTAAGCATATAAACATGTAAACAAGTAGACAGTTAAGCATGCTTTTCAAATAACAAAACATTTTAGCAAGTAGTCACACAAATAATGCAAATGACTTCCCACATAGCCCTAGGTAGCCCTCTACCTGTCGTCCTAATGGTTTTTGAAGCATAACTCTGATACCAAATTTGTAACGACCCGAACCCGTAGGTCCAAACCATTAGCCGATCCTTAACCGAACTCGAGGTCAACTAGGAACAACACTATTCTTTCCTACGTTAATACATATTATACGTGTCATTCCAGTTTGATAAAAAATATAAGTAATAATAAATAAATAATAATAAAAAATGAGATTATAGCTACAAAGTATGTCAAAACAGTCTACTAACCTATCGAACCCTGTGGAGGAGCATCGTCCGCCACTTGCCATCCATGTCCTGAAAAATACTAAATATAAAGGGTGAGCAAATTGCTCAGTAGGTGGTGCCTAAGACACACCTCTTGTAACCCCGTGAATCGAAATAATGAATAGGAACAGAGGATAGGGGTCATATTATGCCGGGAAAGAATACATCATTAATTCCAATTCCAAAATAACATTGCCGTTCCATGATATGTGATGCCATGAATGTCACTCCCCATTTTCAAAATCCAAATCCATCACTTTTCAAACTGTTAATATAACCCGTCCGTCGGTGATTCCACGGTTACACGAGGGAAGGATTGGCTATTATCCCTGACCGTTTGTACCTCCGCGGCGTCATTTAAGGCCTAGATAGCTCAACCACACTAAGGCAATCTCTCTAGTTCCCTATAGGTTATATTAACACCACGGCCCTTTGGTAGCTCCGCGGCGACCGGGTTTTTCACAAAACCATTTTATCAAATCTTTTTCCCAAAAATCCCCTTTTTCCACTTCAAAACAATTCTTTCCCTTTTCCTTGCCCAATGATATGCATGAATACATCATGATTTTTAACAATATCATAAAGGGGAATCACATATCGTACAAGTCATGTGTTCACAATATAGCAAGCTTTATAGGAAATTTTTAATAATAACCAACATGTCTCTATAATGAACATTTAGCAAATCAAACACAATAAACATATAAATTCACCGCTTAAACATGTTTTCTCATACAATATCAATTAATTCACATAATTACATGTTTTAATTCAAAAGAAAAATTCTAGAAATATATCTCAAACCTTCTAATCACAAAATTCATCACTTATAATGCAATAGGCATGAAAACATCATCATTTAAAGATAGTTCTTCATCACATATCAACTTAGCATGCAAATACATCTCATATACAACACATAGCAAATTTTACATGAAATATATACAAAATTAATCATATAATAACATAAATTAGGAGGAATTGACTCACAAAAATCTAAGAGATTATGTATTAGAAACCTCTACCTTAATATTATGCAAAACCCCCAAATTAATGCCCTAGATCTCAAAATTCCCAAGTGCACCGAACTAGAAATTGCTTCAATCAACTTGTAGATCTTGCCGTGAGCTTCAATTTGCCGTAAACGGCACTCAAAAATACCAAGTATTGAAGGAGAGACCAAGAATTAAAGCCTTGAAGTGAAAAAAAGAAAAAATGAAAGTTTGAGAAGCAGAGAGAGAGACCAGTGGGAATGGGAGAAAAGGGAAAGAAATGAGACCAAACATGTCTCTTTCTCTCTCTCAAAACGTAGATGTGGGCCCCACAAATTTTCTTTTATTTTTCCTTTTTCCTCTACTTTCATTTACACCACATATATATACATATATATATATATATCACCATACCATAACCACATATCACATTAAATAAAATAAATATAATGCAATTGGACCCAACTAAAATCCCCGTATGCAACAATTCCGGTAGCGGGTCCCACGTGGGACTGTCCGATCCGAAAAACGGAAAAATGCAAAAATGACTAACCTTGCATTTCAATGAGTCCTGAACTTAATGAAATGCCCCAACCAGCTCTCAGACACAACCGACACACTCCACGGTGTCCAGTACGTAAAACGACAAAAAACGAAAATGCCCCTTGCTGCAACAAAATTTTCGAAAAAAAGAAAAATGACCAAAATTTGGAAACATCACACATAAATATTTGCGAGATATGGGGAGAAAATGGCAACTAGAGATAGGAGGAGAAACAGGGCAATTGAACAATGTGAAGAGCTTCCAGGTACCTAATTATGGTAATTATGGGTGGGACTATGATGCTTCTAATGGATCAATGTTTATAGATTTATGTTTATGCTGGAGCAGGGGAGTAACATGTTCTTCAAGTTATACTTTGCAAGATCCCAAAGTCTATTGGAACTACTCTGTAGGTTGAAACCTAAAGGTTACATTCATGTGTATTTCTTTGCAGATTAAATGAAAATTGATTGCAATTTGTAAGACTACGCAAAATATAGATTGTTTATTCAAGTGCACTTTGAATTTCTTGCTTTGATGGAGTTCATACATTTGATGGCTCTTTTGATGGCATTGCATGCCTCTTGGTAAACCTCAACTAGAAACATGATGATTTGGGGCACATCAAAATAGAAATCTATATATATATTTATCTATACTTTGTATAAAAATGACAAAGTGTATACAATTTTGATTTTTTATGTACATTTTTTACTCTCTTTTTTCTTTCTAATCAAAATATTGAATTTGAAGAGACCACACTCAATGAACTTTCCAATATAAAATTTACATTCCCACTCATTTTTTAAAAGATAACACATATTTCACTCCTTTTTAATGCATAGTCCAAAACTGCAACAATTCGAACCATCTCTCAATCTGTCTCACTTTCAAACTAGACACGAACCTTAATTGTCATGACAAGGTCATTTTGGAGGCACCCTGGGATAATAAATCGAGATGCAGACATGAACCTTACTTGTCATGAGTTTGCCTTTTTACTTCTCAGTTTAATGGGCAGACTAAAGAAGGTCCTAAAACCAAAGCTCGTGTACCTCAGTGTTATCTCATCTAGCTTTCAAAAGTGATGGAGAGGGTTTGAATCTCCGTAGGGATAAAAGAAAAAGCAGGCCCTAAAACCAAAGGCCGTATAGCCTAGTGATATCTCATTTACCTCTCAAAGGGGATGCCGTAGGGATAAAAAAAATAGCAGGCCCTAAAAGCTGGCTGGCTTCAGACAGCAAACAACTATAATACAGGAATTGGAATTTTATGGAGTCTCCCTCACTTTGCTTTCTATTATGTATTGAACAGAGATCCCATCTAGAATATCTGCATGGCCTTGTGTGAAGTGAAAGAATTTCTTTTAGGAAGGATTTAGAAACTATGAAGAACCGATATGACAACATTATAATGAGATTGAGATTTTTTTTTTTTTTTTTTTTTCCAGGAAAAAAAAAATAAGCCCTTGGTCTTTTCTTTTTTATTTGGCAATTTGAGGGAAAACTTGAACTAATATAGGGCAAGGGCCGCACGAACGCAAGCCCCCACTGCCACAAATTATGACATAGGCTCTACCACTTGGATAGACCTTAGACGGGCACCCCTCCTAAGTGCAATGAAAGTCACCAATCTAGGCCATGGGCCTTCTTGATCACCCATTGACCCTATCCAGGTAAGTATGTTGTACCATATGCTTTCAATTTGTTATATAGAGCTCTCCATGTAACTCCTACTTGTGTTTTCCCGATGCGGGACTATAACGACCCTAAACTACTACCAATTATAAAATAAAATAAAAATTCAACATAACCTCTGCTAAAAAGGGGTCCTACAACAACCTGCTTAAATGCAAAAAAAAAATGTAATAACCTCTCTTGGGCCTTCAAGACTTATCCAACCTGTCCCAACACACAATACAAATAAAAATAATGCATTCCCTAAAACAACAACATCAACAACCTCCTCGAGATGCCCATCATCATCATCCCATTCAACACAATATATTTACACAGTCTCACTTCCCTTTAAAATACTAACAAGAGTTATAGTTTACAATACATGACCATGGCTTGTAAAATGTGTACACTTTACTATGGTTTTGAGACTTTACAAAAGTGTAGCAAATATACAAAAGATAGCAAAAATATATTCCTAGTCCTCCTTAAGTTTGTGATGGTTCAGTGTCCACAACTTCTTTTCCGAGTCCTGAAAAAAAAATGTTAAATGAAATAGGGTGAGCAAATTGCTCAGTAGGTGGTGCCTAAGGCACACCTCTTGTGGCCCCGTGAATCCAAACATTGAATAAAACAATAGGGAGTGGGGTCATGCTAAGCCAGGAAAAAATATAATATAAATCCCAAGTTCAAAACAAGCAAATGCCATGCCATGGATGCAATGCCATGTATGTCACTCCCCATTTTCAGAAACATCCATCACTTCATAAACTGTTAATATAACCCATCCTTTGGTGACTCCGCAGCGACATGAGAGTAGGGTTGGCTATTGTCCCTGACCCTTGGTAACCCCGCGGCATCATTTGGGGCTCAGTTAGCTCAACCACACTAAGGTATTTTTTTCCTAGTTCTCTCTAGGTTACATTAACACACCGGCCCTTTGTTGACTCCTCGGCGACCGGGTTTTCTCAAAACCGTTTTATCAAAATTACCCCCAAAAATCCATTTTTCATCATTTTCAAATTACTTTGCCCTTTTTTCTTTCATGCCCAATGCTATGGATGTATGTCACATGCTTTACCATTTCTAAGGAATTAAAGAAATTTCTACTACACAATTTAGCATGCATCCAAATAGTCATTTTAGCAAGATAATAAACATTTAGGCATGAAAATTAACACTTTAGCATATTTTTCACATAATTCCATCAACACACATAGCATAGATTTCAATTACAACAATTATATCATTTTTCAAGGAAAATCAATTTAAATAAGGCATGTTTCTTATACTATTTAATAAATACACATAATTAACATGCTTCCTCCTAATAATTTCTAACAAGTTAATAATCATCATAGGCATGAAAATTTAACATTTAAGCATGTTCTACATACAAGTCAAGTAATACACATAATCATGTTATCCATACACACATATATATCATTAACAAGGCATCTAACTCAAATTAAACATGCTACATAACAATTATTGGAAGAAAACTCACAAAGGAACAAGAAATTGGGCATTAGAGACCCCTACCTCAATTTAAGCCAAAACCCCCAAATCAAATGCCCTAGATCTCGAAATTCCCAAGTGCACTAAACTAGGAATTGCTCCAATCAACTTGTAGGCCTTGCCGTGAGCTTTAATTTACCGCAAACGGCATTCAAAAATACCAAGAAATGAGGAAGAAATTGAAGTTTTGTTGTTGAAGAAAGAAAAAAGAAAAATGAGAAGAACTGGAAGAAGTATACTGCCGGGGAGAGGATAACAGAACAAAGAGCAAATGTGGTCTCATGACCACTTAAAAAAAATTGTGGGTCCCACCCATTTTTATTTTATTTTTCCTTTTTCTTTTATTTTCATTTTACACCACATATATATATATGCACACATTAAATAATTTCACACCTTATATAACACATTAAATAAAATAAATATGATGCAAATGGACCCAACCAATATCCCCATATGCAACAATTCCGGCAGTGGGTCCCACATGGGACCTTCTGGCCCGAAAAACTGAAAAATGCAAAAATGATCACCTTTGCATTTCAAAGAGTTCTAGACTCAACAACTCTCGGACATAACCGGCACACTCCGCAGTGTCCGGTACAAAAAATGTGAAAAAAGGAAAATGCCCTTACTTCGACAAAATTTCCGGAAGAATGAAAAATGGCAAAAATTTGGAAACATCACAGGGACTGCGGAAATGAACATTCAGTACGCATGGACAGTTAACGTGGTGGTCTGATGAGGAATAGTTAAGCAGTTGATATAATCTGAACTGGATAGATTGGAGAGTGTGTTGAAGAGTTTGTGATCGATTTCTGCCACATTTAATACCATGGCATTTCGTAATCATTTTCCTTTTGATGGAGAGTTGTGGCAGCCTAGTTTTGTGGTTGGTCGAATTGTCTCCCACTTCTAGGATTTTTTGGATGCTCAGAGGCAATTGGATCCAGATTAGACTACCTCTAGCCCCACTACAATTCATTCCGTTCATGAATGGAAGCCTCCTAGAAAGGGAGTCATTAAAAGCTTTGATTTGGCTTGTAAAAGCATTTACTAATACAAGAAGTAATGAGACATAAAACATACATCGTTTGATTTTGATTTCTGAAGTTCGGATGAAGATCAGTTGAAGAAGTGGTGTATTTGTACAGTGATTCGACTTCCTCTACTGTAAGAGATTGCAGTCAAAGACCGGGGGATGTTAATCTAGTGTTTTATTCATGTAGTGTGGCTCCAGTAATTATCCAAACTTTGTTGGTTGACATTAGGAATTAGCTCATTTGATATAGACTCTTAGATTCTCTCCACTTTTCTAATCCTAGAAGTTGATCAAGATTGTAATGTTTGATTTTTTGCAATGAAATCTCTCTTTGAAAAAAGACAAAAAATTAAATGGAGGGAGTTGAAAAATAGGAATTACAACTTAGACTTTAGATATTGGACAGGGGCCGCGCGAACGCAGGCCCCCACTACCACAAATTATGACGTAGGCTCCACCACTTGGGTAGACCTTAGGCAGACACCCCTCCTGAGTGCAATGGAGGTCACCAACCTAGACCATGGGCCTTTTTGATCACCCATTGATCCCGTCCAGGTAAGTAGGTTGTGAATTTGGCTTTCAACTTAATATATAGGACTCCCCAGAAAACTCACATTTATGTTTTTCCAATGTGGGACTACAGAGAAGCAAACATTACACAACATCAGTACATAAACTTCACCTCACCCTCCCGAGGTAAGCTTACCTTTGGTATTATCAAATGATACAAAAGCTGAATGCATATCTTCTTATCTTGCTAATGGTTAAGACATAACTTGTTTTCAAAAAAATCTCCAAAAAATATCAGTCTTGCAGAACCCTTTAGAAGGAAATGCAAGAAGTGCCGTCATTTGCACTTATCAGCCCTGCAGTCATGTCAGATTATCTCTCGCCCTAATATAATTCATCGTCTTCATCGATGGCAGCCTCCTAGAGAGGGAGTTATTAAATGCAAAGTTTAGGCTGCTTTCTACCCCTTGCCCCATATTTCGGGTGGTGGGGTGGTGCAGCGTTTCCGAAATCTTTTGTTTGCACAAACCGATTTTTGGACACGTTAATATGGCTTCAGTCAAGTATGTATTGAGAATCACACTTGTTGTAAATGCTGTTGTTGGGGAGAATCCAGGGCCTTTGGAGATTGAAAGCTGTGTTGTTTGTTTGATATTCGCTTTAGCCATTCGGAGCTTTGCCTTTGCTTCTATTAGCCATGTCTTGAGAATTTGCAATATTGGGCATAATCTGTGATAGAGAGTAGAACTTGGGCCACTACTACAAACTATGACGTAAGATCCACTACTTGAGTAGACCTTAAGCGGGCACCCCTCCTGAGTGCAATAGAGGTCACCAACTTAGACCATGAGCCTCATTGATCACCCATTGATTCCGTCCAGGTAAGTATTTTGTACCATATGCCTTCAACTCGTTATATACACCTCTCCACATTTCTTCCACTTATGTTTTCCCGATGTGGGACAAGTGAAAACATTACAATTTGCAACAATCAATTTATGCCACATCTAATACCATGGAGAGTTGTGGGAGCCTAGTTTTGTGGTTGGTCCGATTATCTCCCACTTCTGAGAATTTTTGGATGCTGAGAGCCAATTTGTGTTCGAGTTTTTTCATCAGATGAATGACTATGGTTGTTGTTACAGTATAGAGACTTTGAATAAGGTGGTTGTGGCTGTGTGATTGTGTGTGGGTCTAAGCTTGTTATTGAAGCTTAGCACATAGTTACACATAGTTACCAAGTTGAAAGAATGGTTTCAGAAAATGATGGAGACCCTTTTCAAGAAAGCATTGAAGCTTTTTCAATCAATGAGGACCAAATTGTGATCAATTGGATGCGTAAAAAAGCAAGGTCGGGCAAGCTCATTTGGTGTTCGAAGAAATGCATACGAGAGGGATTGAAGCTGCTAATTTGACATTGGGGTTGTTTTGATGTAGTTTGTATTAGTTTGTCAGAACAACGGCCTACAGTTGTATGGTCGTTCTTGAGTTCAAACTCAAGGATTTTTCATCGGTGCCAATTCCATTGTCAGATTCCTATCCTACTAGGAGATATTTACGTTTTAGTGAAACGGGTCGGAAAATTTTTTAAACTAAGATGGAGTATTTATTGGAATCCATTTTTGTAGGGCCTACAACCTTATATTATGATAATGGATGAGAATAATTAATATTAATTAATAAGTTTTAAATTAATCTATTATATTATTAAATCGTGAGGACATCCAGTGAACCAGTGCTATATGCACGAGGCAAAGAAGAGGTTCCTTGAGCATTTGAGATGGTGCTAGGATCTATTAAAGAGGGGAGGGACGAACTTAAAAATAAAATTAGCAGTTTCAAATTGATAATCAACTTTAAGAGAACAATTTGGTGAACTGTTGGAGAAAAAAATGATTTGGATTTGAAAGGGCGAACAACCCTGCTGGAGAAAAAAAAAAAAAAAAAAAAAAAAAGGAGATGACAAGAACACAGCTTTCTTCATGCCACGTTTTGGCTTAAATGGAGCAATGTTGAACACTAACAAGACAATTTTCTTTTTACAAAAATAATAAATATGAGATATCAATTGAAATTACTTCTAAATTAAGTTTCATCTCCTCATAATATTTGATCTGAGGCCCAAATCAGTAATCATAACAAATATAATCTCCATTCCGGGCCTTATATATTTATAGCCCAACCCAATAACAATATAAAAAACTTAAACTTTAAATATTGGGCAAGGCCGCGCGAACACAGGCCCCCACTACCACAAATTATGACGTAGGCTCCACTACTTGAGTAGACCTTAGGCGGGCACCCCTCCAGAGTGCAATGGATCTCACCAACCTAGACCATGGACCTTATTGATCTCCCATAGATCCCATCCAGGTAAGTATGTTGAAATTTGTGCTTTCAATTCATTATATAGGCATGTCTACATAATTCCAATTTACGTTTTTTTTTATGTGGGACAACAGAAGCAAACATTACACCCAAACCCAAGATAAATATGGACCGACCTTTTTTACCCTTCACGAGCTATAAGCCCTAGTGTTTCTTTTTGTTCTTGTCAAGTATAATATAAAAGGTGAATGCATATCTGATCTTTGTTAGGAATTAGGACATAAATAAATACCAGTCTTGTAGAGTTTGAAAATAAGGAACAAATGTTAAGGGAAATCAAAATTTTAGATTCTGAGTTTGGCTAGGTATGGGATGGAGGAGAAATAATTTTGACAGAATGATATCTTTGTTATGGAGCTCCTCGAGCTGGTGTGTCGTGTTTGAAAAAGATACCTTTATTATGCAAAGTTTATTTACATTAGGACATGAATGCGGATTAATCATGTCCTTGTAGAATTGATTGGACAAGTCTGTCAAGTCTTTTAACATGTTTTCAAATCAAATAGAATAAATGTTCACATTTTGTTGGATTAATTTCATTAGATTTAAGGTGACAACATTTGTTGTGGGACAGTAGTATTTATTTTTTTTTTTTTTTTTGGGCATTTTGTTCTGCTTTCCTCTCTGGGTTGGTTGAATTCCAATGTTTTGTGTGTTTATAAATGTTTCTTATTTTCTCTCACTAGCCTATTAGGGCCTGTTTGGCAAGTGTTTTGTTTTGTTTTAGACCTGCTACAGTAGCCCTTTTGAAGCCCAAAACATGTTTGGCTGGGTTTATTGCGTTTGAAACAGTTGCAAAACAGAATCAAATTTGGGCTCAAAAGATGAAACACCATTTTGGTGTTTTTTGTTGCTTCCGGTTGTATTTGCATTGCAGCGGAAGAAGCAAATCCTTCATTTAACTGTAGCGGAGGCAACAATTGAAAGGAGGTATAAAAGGAAAACTTGCAACAATCCTAGGGTTTGGTTTGCTGCGTTGTGGTCTAGCGATCTTGGCAATTCTTGGCGACAACTGAACAACTGCTATTTGTTTTCCTTTGCTGCTATCTTCGACGATCTCAACAGGTTTGAACTTTGTTTGAATATTTCAGTTTTTCTTTTCTTTTTTTTCTGTTTTGCGGTAATCTACAATTTGAGTTTTTTTTTATTTGTTTTTTTTTTTTCTTGCAATTGATGGGTCGCAAGGTTTGGTGATTTGTTTGTATTTCATGATTTTTTTTTTTTAATATCTAATTAACATACATGAACATAGATTGGAAAACGATAGAAGAAAAAAAATCAAACGTAGTAGAATTTTTAGACCTGCAAATTTCTGATTAGATTTTACAGAAACAAGACCTAAAGAAAACTCGGTAATGTCTATTCGAACGTATTGTTCAATTTGATTTTTAGAATTTTTTGAGGATTCATTGATTTAGGTAATTTTTGGGCACAGGGTGGTAATTTAGGTAATTCATTGATTTAGGTAATTTTTAGGTAATTTAGGTAATGTCTCTTCGAACGTATTGTTATATTAACATTGTTAAAATTCTTTTCTCAGATCAACAATGGAGTTTAACTATTTTATTTTTTTTGGGGCACGGGGTGGAAAAGAGTTTCCTGTATAACCAGATGCTAGCTCCAGAACACAATAGTCACTCTTTGTTTAGGTAATTTTTGTTTTATTTTCATCTTCCATAGAGAATTCAATCATCAGCAGGTTTTTTTGCATCCATATCCTCAATTAAAATATTAACTCCATGGACAGAAAAAGTAATCTTATTCGGGGAAAATTAATATTCCTGACAAACTGCAGCATATATGGGCTTATAAGTTAGCACAACCAGCCAACTTCATCAACTAATTCATTACTTGGTATGATTGAAAGGTCAATGTCAAGAGCAATTTATGGATTTGAACTCCTCTTGCCTTCCTCTGAATAAGTGCCCAGACCTCCATAAGCAAATTATATCTTGTAGAATGGCTTACAAACTGAAGGTTGAACTCTAATATATAAAGTTCACCAGTTTTCCATCTTGAGTTTCAACATAATAAAATATTAGGAGATTAGGTCTTAAACAATTTGGACTGGTTGATGTTATTCAACTAATTCGTATAGAGGAAAGAATAGTGATCCGGATGGTCATCCAATTGGATGCTTCAAGATGGCTTCCAACTTCCAAAAACTAGTTTTTAGAAAGAACCTTTCAAAACTTGAGCCCAGAGAGAAGGTTGAAGTTTTTTAAGCATCCAAAATTTCTTTGCAAACAAAGACATGTCCATTCTTCCAAAATTTTAAAACCCCAGACCCCTTTCAAGGCTTTTCTTAGGAATTTCCTCCCATCTGACCCCATGAGACAAGCCATCACCTTTGTTGTTGCTCAACCAGAATTTGCAACTTTAGTACAAACAGCATTACATGATGTCACCAGAAATTTGATACGACTATAAATGAGAACATATCCAGTCCCATACTTCAATGCAAATCATGAAGTACTAATGTCACATTAGTTGTCCTTGAAACATCAAATTTGCTTTCGAAAAAATATTTATTTCAGATAATTGTTAGGAGCAATGCATATCATTACAAGATAAATTAGTAAGTTTAGCAATCCAGGTAGAATATAGCCTCTTTGCTAATCCAGTCACAGGTTCCAAATGAACCTTTTTGCATACAAGTTCACATAAATTGCAGGATCAGTGACAACTTGCAAGTTTCCTGACAACTATGAAATCTCCTATCAATTCTCGTATTTTATAGGTTCTTTCATCTCCATTCACTGCATCCCCAACCAAAAGTCTACACACGTCCATTTATGGGTCTGAGTTCCTTTTACAGTGATTGCGTGTTACAACAACAACCACCACCAAGCCTTTTCCCAATTACTTGGGGTTGGCTACATGAATCCCATGTTTCCATTCCCAATTACGGTGATTGCGAATTATATGTATAAGTTTGTATTTACTAAACATATGTAGTTCTCTGTTGGCTTGCATGAATATGGAAAAACTGAAAAGAACGAAAAAGGAACCAAACACCTTAATAAGCTAAAAGGACCTTTCATGTTTATCTTTTTTGTTCCCTTGAATCTTCTTAAGCAAAAATATATACAAATAGGGCAAACAATTGGACACAAGTGTACCCTTTTTTTAAATGTCTGAAGTAGATGTAGATGCAGTTGGACACAAGTGTCCGTTTAACCAGTGTTTAGAACGGATATCATTGATGGATACAAGTGTTCTAAGGATCAGAAAATTCAGTTCCAGAATTTTTGTGCCTGTGTCAGACGTGCATTGAACACTCCTAGACACATGAATTACACCCCATGAACATATTTATAATTGAAAAATAAATTTATTATTTTACTGAGACATTCTAAACACTTCCTGACACAAATCTTATGCAGAAAAAACACCTTTTAAAAACAACAGCAGTTTTCTTTAGAAAAATTGCCATATACACATGGAAATCACAAATCAAGTATGCAATGAACTCTTTTAAAAATAGGAAAAAAAACAATCGTGGTGACTAAAGTACAACAAGAGGGTAGTAATATTATCATCGATTGAATAATGGAAGAACTTATAGGGCTTTGAGTTATTGAAGTAATAGCATGAGTTATTGAATAATAGCATGAGTTATTGAAGTAATATATATTATTTTTGTTGTTATTAATTATAGTGTTGTTATTAATTTGTTAGATGGATATGAATGTTGAGAATGTGGAACAATGTGGTGAATATCTGACAATTGAAGAAGAAGGGGTGGCTGAAGTTACGAAAGATGAAAAAGTGTTATGGGATAACTCACTTACTGAAAAATTCTATAATATTATGGAGGAACAAGTTAGGGCTGGCAATCATACTAACACAACATTTAATCCAAAAGGTTGGACTACTATAGTAAAAGAAATGAAGGTTCAAACAGGGATAAAATTTGACAAAACCCAACTTCGGAATAAGTTTAACCAATTGAGGACAATTTATATCGAGTTTAAGAAATTGTTATCGGAGACTGGCGTGGGATATAACCATGAGACGGGCATGGTTATAGTTGAGGAAGAGAGATGGGGCAGGTTGAGCAAGGTTAGTAATTTAATTATTAGTCATAAATAAATAATAAAATATCGTATATTATTTGTTATGAGGTTAATATTGTAACAAAATTTTGTAGGTTATTAAGGATACAAATAAGTTTCATAGACATGGATATAAGCATTTTGACAAGATGTCGACTATATTTGGGGACACATATGCAACAGGAATGCATGCCCACCCCTCCACTACAGCACCCCCCCACAATCATTTTGCCCACTCCCAATGATGACGATGATGAGGAAGAGGGTTGTCATGTCAGTCCCCCACCTTTACGTAAAGGTAAGAAAGCCAAAAGAGATAGTTTATCTCCCAGTATGGCTGCACTCTTGTCAGGCATGGATGAGAATTCTGCGAGGAGAACTGAGAGAATGAAAGCTGCAATAGAGAAAGCAATTAAAGCATCTTCTACTTCTACTCATGTATCTTCATGTGAGAAAGGAGATGATGAAGTTCTCTCTCCCTCTAAAAAGGATAAAGATGATGAAATGTTTGAAGCCTGCATGCTCCTTTTACAAAAAATACCTGGAATTGAGATGGCCCAATTTGCTAAGGTATCGAAGTTGTTACATGATTCTGAGAAATGGCAGAAATTTTTTCTCAGTTCTCCTGAGGAGATAAGAATTGGTTGGGCACTGAATGTTTGAGTCTTTCTTTATGGATGATTGTGTTTTGTTGTTTGTTTAGCTTATTACTATCTCACATTTGGATGACTGTAATAACTAAATACTTTTATTTCTTGGATGACTGTACTGCTATTATTTAAATGTTTTTCTTATTAAGTTAAATGTTTTACTTATTAACTTAAATATTTTATTTATTACTTAAATGTTAAGCTTATTAACTCAAATGCTTTGTTTATTATTTAAATATTTTGTTTATTATTTAATTGTTTTGCTTATTAACTTAAATGCTTTGCTTCTATTAAATCTTTAAATAGGGCAATGGATATGTGGAACCATATAAGAAGAATAATTCAATTTTATGACGATGAGGAGGACAATGAGAGTGTCTTAATATTTGCTACTCTTTTAGAAGAGCAGAACTTCTATCAAAAGAGGCGTTGTAGGGATTCCATTTTACAAGGGGAAACGTATGTTATGGAGATTTTAAACGGGCACAGAGAAAGATGTAATGAAAATTTTAGGATGTACCCTGAAGTTTTTAGAACATTGTGTAGTACCCTGAAAGGTATAGGGCTGAAAGATTCTAAATTTTTAACTGTTTATGAACAAGTGGCAATCTTTTTGCTCACTTTATCTCATAATCAAAGGAATCGTGTTGTAGCTGAGAGATTTCAACACTCCACTGAAACCATTTCCAGACACTTCCATGCTGTGTTACATGTAGTATGTCAGTTGGGCACCCATATCATTGCCCCTCCTGATTTTTTTGTGATTCCGAATAAGATTAGAGAGTCTTCTAGGTTTTTCCCTTACTTCAAGAATTGCGTGGGAGCTATAGATGGAACCCACATTCCTGCAACTCTGCCAGCAAGTACACAACTTCCATTTCATGGTAGAAAGGGTTATACCACACAAAATGTAATGGTTGTATGTGACTTTGACATGAGGTTCACATATGTGCTAGCTGGGTGGGAAGGCTCCGCTAATGATTCGAGAATCCTAAAGGAGTGTATTGAGAATGAGGCAATGAACTTTCCAGCTCCACCAGCAGGTAATATTATCTTACAAATTCACTTAATATATGGTTAGTTTATCATACTGTATATATCTTTATGTATTTTAAACATGGCAGGTAAGTATTATTTGGTGGACTCAGGATATGTCAACAAGCCTGGTTATTTGGCCCCATTTCGAGGTCATACTTACCACTTTCAGGAATATCGTAGGACTAGACAACCTCGTGGTCGGGAGGAAGTGTTCAATCATAGGCATTCATCTTTGAGAAATATAATTGAGCGATGCTTTGGGTTGTTGAAGATGAGATTCGCTATTTTGAGGGCAATGCCTCCTTATAAGTTTTCAACACAAGTATTGATTGTAATGGCTTGTTGCACATTACACAATTTCATCAGAAATCAGCATCAGTCTGATGATTTATTTTATAGTAACAATCCTCCTCAAAGTGATGGTGAAGATGATGAGATTGTTGAGCATGTGCCTTCGGCTCAGCTTCGAGAAATGGAACAGTTGCGTAATACTATTGCTGATCGAATTTGGAATTCTCTTTAGCACTTTTGATCCTTCTGAAAGTGATGGTATATTTTTTCTTTTATATGTCATATATTTGTTGCTATTGTAAGCTTGTAATATATATATGTAATATAAATCATTTTTGCAAATATATAATTCAACTTAAATGCTATTATTGCAGATATGAAGTGTGTTGATGCTCTCTTAAAGGCCACATGTGCTGTTATGAAGATGATGTGTCGTTGCCATTGTCATCCACTTTATGAACTTCTTATCAATTTTTACTGACAACTATGTATTGTTAATGCTTTGTTCCAAACATTTTATGTACAACTTAAACTTGTTTAATTTGTTGGTTGAATATTTAAAGACTTGTAAATGGTATACACTCTATTTCAATTATGCTTTCAGTTGGGTTTGTTTTTATTTTAATGTTGTGTTGGACTATACAGGTAACAGGATAATAAAATTGAAGCAGGTTATTGCAAAGAACTTGTAAATAGGTTATTGCTAATTTTTTTTACAAATGTTGACTCTCATGTAGTATAGTAAAATGTGACTAGAAATGTTTTTATTTTTAATGTTGTGTTGGACTATACATGTATAATGATAATAAAATTGAGGTGAGTTATTGCAAACAACTTGTAAATAGGTTATTGAAAAATTTTATATATATATATATATATATATATATATATATATATGTTTGTGGGTTCAAATTTCTCCATATCTATTAAAAATATGATAATTATTTATAAATATACATAAAATTTATAAAAACAAATAAAAAACAAGGATAACCAAACATGTTTTTTTTTTTTTTACAACAGTTGGACTGACCAAACATGTTTTGTTTTCGAAAATTTTGAAACGCATGATTTACCAAACATGTTTTGTTTTCGAAAATTTTGAAACGCATGATTTACCAAACATGTTTTGTTTTCAAAAATTTTGAAACGCATGATTTACCAAACATGTTTTGCATGTTTTTGCTTTCGACATTTTCACAGCAAAACATCGTTCCCAAACGAGCTTCCGAATTTTTTCCAAAACACTCCTACAGCAAAAACACTGTTTCCGTTTTAGCTAAAAACAAAACGCCAAAAACAAAGCACATGCCAAACGGGCCCTTACATATTCATCAATCAGTGTTTACTTCTTAGAAACAAATTGTTGAAGAATGAAAATAAAAAAATTAAGAAGATCCACCCCATTCATGGAATGCAATGAGAATACCAATAATTCATATGTGCAACCACCATCTGATGTGACTCGATTAAAGACAAGGACGACCACAACTAAGTATCACACATGATATTACCAAAGATATTGTTTTTTCGTCTCAAAATTTCTTTTTCTCCAACTCAAATGAATTAAGTTCAAAAAATTACCACTAATAAGATAAAATCTTACGAGCCTAATGAAATTTATTGAATAGACCGCATCAAAAGTTGTAAGTGTACCTTTCTCACCTTTCAAAATACTATAATATAAGATCAGAGGTTAAGTTCTTATAAAGACACAATGGTATTGTGAGTTTCGAATGGTGAGTTCATCTATAGCAAGATGATTGAGGCATTCTTTTGCATCAAAACACAAAGAAAACATTGACAACTTCAGTCCTTCGCCAATGGTCCTGAACTTATCTAGTGTTGTTGCCTCTCTGGATTGCTAATGAATATATAACCAAGTCCAGTTCACCGCAAATTAAAGACCCCAATTCAGGATGGCAAAATATTTCACCCCATCGGATACCCACTCCATCCCGTCCTGTTTAAAATGATTATGAGGGTGGTTAAATGGTTTTGGGGCGAAAATGAGAGTCAGGATTAAAAACCCGCATGGTAATGAGGTGAGATGGGAAAGGTCACCCCACCCCGCCCCATTTACAATGATAAATATAATTTTGTCCTTATAATTTATTTTATTTTGAATAACATTACATATATATTAAGCAAATTCTAATTTATTCTACTTCAATCACTAAATTAAATATATACCTCATTTGTATTATTCTTATTTGAGAACTTTATTTATTATTTTGGTGTTCCTACAATAAAATTAAGTCTCAACTTAAATTGAGAAAGTTAAATCTTGTTTGTATCCGCATAAGAGAAAAAGAATTATTACCATAGTTAAAATCTTCTGCCCTGCTCATTTAATAAACGATTTTTTACGGGAGTGGAGGTACATGTAAATAGGGAGGTGATGGAGATTGTATTTAAAACCCCAGCGGGAGCGGGGGCAGGTAACCCCGCCCCGTTTATAGTGCATTTTTACAAAATTGTCCTTACATGTTATAAAATATTATTAAATTGCATAACTATATGTATAATATATTCACTTCTAAAAGTGAAACCCTCTATTCCCTCGCAGCATAGAGAAAAAACATAATCGTTGTGCATCAAACATCTGATCATGCTTTAAATTGTTATAATTGTGTTGAAACTTTATTAAATTATTAGGTTGAAAAATATCATGGCTGTGTTGATTTTATTAAAAATGAATTGAAATTTAAAAAATGTTATACGGAGCGGGGCAGGGGCTAATATGGCGGGGCGTGATGGGGATGGGAGAGGGGGTTGAAAATTAAACAGGTATGGGGGTAAAAAATTTGATCGGGGATGGGGATAGGGAATGAGATCCCCGCCCCACCCCATTGCCATTCCTAGATATGGTTGACGTTCCCTAGACTGTCCCGTTACCATCCCTACACCGGATCCGACACTATTTTTGCCCTAATTGTAACCATTTTTTATTTTTATTTATTATATTACCGATTCCAAAAATATTGATTTCATTTTTATTTTTTATTTTATTAAATGTGCCGGGTATCATGCTCCAAAAGGCAAAAGCAAACAATGCAAGGAAAAATGTCATGTGGGATTTTAGGTTAGTGAAGTCCGGAGTAAAGGGAGGCATTATAACTAATGGGAATTCCATTTTGGGGCTTCTACTTTGCTAACACTCGACTGCAATGGAAAACATAAACTCACAGGAACAAAATAGTAGTCATCACAGAGTTCAGCATATTTGTTATTTATCTATAAACTGAAAGAGAAAAATATATAAGTTGGAAATTTGACCCAACAAAGTTTGAGTAGGATAACAAAAAGGCCTTATTAGTCCTCTTCCTTTGTCATTGACCCCAAGCTTGCGAATGTATATACACGTTAAAATTATACAGAGGAAGAAAATTTCAAAAGTGCATCTTATTCTTCTTGGAGGAAGCCGTGTTTCTGAAGATCAAGAATAGTTTTTCACCCAGGAACGGGTTCTCAAGGAAAATAATCTCCTCCGCTGGAATATATTGAAAAATGAGGTGGAAAGGGTAAAGAGAATGAGTTTAGAAACGCAGCCAGTAAGTTCTACGTCGGAACCAGTTATAGTCAGGTAAAAGCACAATCGGTCCCCTGGCTGCAATTGCAATGTCCTGCAACAACCAAAGACATAAAAGACCAAAGGTTAGAGACCATGTTGAAGGAATCTTACTATCAATGAGACCCCGGAGCTAGTTAAAACCTACAAAGACTGTTTACAGGACAAATGGCTTCAGATGGGAACTAAAAGTCACGTTAATATCTTTACCAAATTTATGCCTGTGCCACGAATCGATAGATAATAACATTAAACGTCAAAATTAGGTGATTCGTAGGGCATACAATTTGCTAAAAGTTGCCTTTGAGCAGCTTTCTTGCAAAAGAGGTTCCGAAAGATTCATACCAGTTATAATAATCCTTCTCAATGGTAACAAAGGGAGTATTTCCTAGTTATCACATGAAAAAACTGTATTCTCATTATTCATTCACTAATTTTATTCAAGAAAATCCCCAAAACATAGCATATGTCCATGCAAAAGCATTGGTTCTCCAAGGCTTACAACTATAAGTGGACTACATTACTTTTGTGTTCTATGGGCAAAGAAAACAGAAACAATATGAATGGTGTAATTGCTTTTGTTGTGATTCAATAATCTCGTGTCATGAAAACAGAAGTGGATTAGAAAAGTTTGCCCAAGATTGACAATGAGAATCACTTTCATTTTATAAAATTCATTTCTGAAAGTGGGTATAGGTTTAACCATAAGCACTGCAGCTTACACCATACTTAAACCTACTGAATGAAGCACAATGGTCAACAGTGTAACAGAAAGAATTTAAGCCTTACCTGGTCAAATATAAAACGGTTTGCAACACGTTTGATGGTGCTGGCATTGACAGCATCAATCCTGGCAAATAATTCAGCGAACGAGATACGTCGGCCATATGTAAGTAGCTGCAGAAGAAAGCACTTCAAATAAGTCAAATGCTTGGCAGGATTTTGTAAAACGTCCACACATCTGTGCCAACTGCCAACAGTATGGGTTAAAGCAAAAGAAGGAAACCCCACCATGGCATTGATGCATCTTCAATCCGTATTTGTTTATGCACCCAGCAATTACACAGTGCTGGTGGTGGTTTTGCACCCATTTACTAACTCATATCAGATAGCCAGTCCACGGAAGGGTGTGTTTCTAGATGTTTGATGTGTCAGTCACCTTCGGACTGTCTAGAAAGGAACCAAAAAGTAGGGGGCTATCGGACCGCTTTCCCTCTAAACAACCCCACCCCCCACCCCGCGCGCACAGGGGTTGGTTATTGAAATGCCTAATTTAAATATCCACTCACAAAAATTGGGAAACAACAAAGACCAAGGATAACAACCAACATTTGATGGCCTATAATTAATTTCATAGAAGAAATGGTCCAGATAAGACCAGAATAGCAAGAAAAAGTTCATGCAATCAAATCTAAATGATAGACAAAAGGCTCTTTTAGGTTGGGATGAGATACATGACTTCATCCTAGCTTTACTGGAATCTAAAGCTAGTCCAGCCATGAAAGAAAGCATAATCTACTGACAAATAACGTAGTGACTCAAAAAGCAAATGCAGACAATGAGAAAGGCCCCTGTATCCATGATGCAGATAAAATCTATATAGTCTCAATTTGGGAAAAAAATAATGCACCTGACGTCCAATGTCTTCAGCTACAGGGCTGGTTCCGTCAATGTTGAGAAGCAATGTAGATTTAAGCTGTAAATAGCACACCGATAAGCAATAGAACTATGGAAACAAGTGCTCAACTGTAGAATAAAATATTAAATATAGATAGTGTTGGAATATTAACTCTCTCCAACTAGCTCTAATACCAGTTGTTGGGAATGTATTAACTCCCTCCAACAAGCTTTGTTACCAGTTGTTGGGAATTAAATCCACCTTCATTCAAGCACAGCGGAAGCATATTATCACACAACCATCAAACATGTATATTTGAAGATACATCATACACCAATCAAGCACAACATAATATTTAATGTGGTTCACCGAATCCTCTACGGCAACGTCCACGTAGAGAAGAACTTTCACTATATATGAATCAAGCAGAGAATATTACTACAATAGAGAATGCACTTACTACCACACACTCAACCCACCATTGGTGTTCTATCACTCACTCTCGGCCACCAATTTCAATGAAGGCTGCATACTCTTCTACCTTGCACCCACACTCTCCTCTCCTCACATCACTCACCCAAACCCTTGTTCTTCTCTACCTTCTCCACCCAACTCCACCTCTATTTACAGTCTTCAACCCATTCCTACTTGAACAAGGATTCCCACACCTTGTCTAAGAAGAAGTTACCAAATCAATCACAACTCTAAAAATAGAAACCTAATGAGAGACAACTTGCTCCACAAGTCTAAAATCTCTAGGAAAGAACGTCTTCTATTTAAGGAAGCAAATCCACAACTCATCAGGAAAGTGTGCCTAGTCTACAATAGTGCGACTGGTAAGACTGCTTCCGCACTCCACAATCTTCAAGAATTTGAGACACATCCAAACAGAAATAACATGAAGCCCCATCCCACTTTGCTAAGAAGTAGTTCTCTCACTTTAGCTGATGTAAAATTATGAAGCTCAACTAGGGAATAGTTAATGCTTCACATAATGGAATTTGCAATGAAGAACACCAAAGACATATCAAAATGAATAGAACAATGAAAACTGTAAGGTCCATAGAAAGTCAAACAAATAGTTGATTCACCAAGGAAAATAAGCAGCCTGGGAAAGCTATCTTATGTTCCAAAGTAAACAATCAAGATAAGCAAGATGTTAGAAATTTAGCCTCAATAAATGACTTTGGCAAAGAGGAATTTGACCTAGGAACCTTGATTTTACTGCCTACAGGTAAGATGCCACACCGGTAGCTTTTTTCTTCTCTTTTTTTTTTATTATTATTTTTTTTTTTTTTTTTGGTGTGGGACAAAAACTCAGAAAGGGAAGGGGATGAAAAAAGAAAAAGAAAAGAAAAAAGAAGCCACTCAGAACACGAGCATGAAGTTCTTTAGCGTTCGCTTTAGCACTTCCCAACAATAAAATATTGGTGTCAGCATCAGTTTAGGACATGCAATAAGGCATGAAAACCTGGCAAAATTAGAATGGCTAAAATTTATTGCAACTTGATTAAAAATGAGTAAGCTCCTCTAACTATGACAACAAACACTTGAGGAAATTTTACTAGCTGATGATTACTAGAAAACTTCAAGCAATAGTAACTTACAAGTTTACAACCATGATAATGCATGTTTCTGTGATAATAGCTGAAAATCTGACCTGTATACACCACACCACATGACATTCTCTTTCTACCATTTTTCTTCCAATATAATCACTACTTTACTGAAACTAAAAAGTTTATTTTTTAATTTTCTCAATTCTAATCCAAGAAAAACCAACCTTAAAAATCATGAATAGCTAACATATCAGACAAGCAATAACATAAAGAAATGCAGCGATATATTAGGGAAAAAAAAGAAGAGAAAAAGAAATGCTATAATACCATTATCATGATTCTAATACAAGTATACCAAAATTGTTTATGATCACACATTAATTTTTTTATATGTACGATCACACTCAATAATCACAATAAAGCATCATAAAACAACTAGAAACCATTGTAATTTTTCAATCTTAACCATCAAACTGATCACCTAGAAAACATAAAACACATCTAAAGTGTTGAGTCTTTTAATACATGCCCACAAGACCACAACATAGCAAAGTCAATATCAAAAGTAAACTCCAATAGGACAAATTGTAAATCTTTAGGACATCTTTTGGAGTTTATGGGTAGTTTGAAATTATAGTGTCGCTTTGGCTGTCTTTGTATTTCTTTGGGAGCGCGCCCTTTTTGAGGGCCACTTAATGAAATCTTACTTATCATTAAAAAAATAAAAAATAAATAAAAATAAAAAATAAAAAATAAAAAGTACACTCTATATATCACCAGCAATGCTCATGTGTTGAGATAGAAAATATAGCACAGTTAAATAGAAAACAAGAAAGGATTAGATGAAGGCCTATTCTGGTTTAACTATGACACAGTCACAAGAAGGAGCACAAATACCTGATTACGAGCACGAGTAACATCATCTTCTGAAACTCGGTAACATAACTTACTTAGCTCATACATTATTGCAAAAGCTAAATCATCCAAACAGTCCGGCTGACAAGAAAAACAAAAAAACCGAAAAGGTAATAAGAAGAAAACACAGTTAAATCTTAGAACCTCTTTCTTGAAGAAATGACGGTGCAGAGATAAACGAAAATAGTTCCCACCAGAATGAGAGGTCAAGTGCTCAATAAAAAAAAATAATAATAAAAATTGCTTGTTGACAAATAGAGATGAAAAGATCCAACTACCGAGATTAATTGTGGCAACTTGTGAGGTCCACATGCATATAAAGTAAAGGAAGGTTTAAGATGAGAATATAGTCAAATCATCTGATGGGCATATGAAATAAAAAAATGCCAGAAAACTTTGGAAATGAAGCAGCAGATGATCTCCATCCACAAAAAACAAGGCAATGGGAAGTTGGGCACCCAATGTAGCATGACCTAAAGCTTCCTCAAACTTTTCAAAACCTATTGTCAAGTGTCAACTAATTCCATTTCCTGATTCACCAAAATTCAAGCAAGGCGAAACCTTGAGAAATTTACAAGACTCAGATAAATGTGTTGGCTTAAAGTTCCATAAGCTTCCATCAAAGCATTCATGAGAAGGTAGAAGTAGCGTCCATTAGAGATAAAATGAGAGAAACTAACTAAAATGGTCTAGTGATATGTAGCAAAAGTGAATAATTATACCAGCAGAAAAAACATGGCCCACATTGAGGGTAATGCTAAAAAAAAAAAAAAAGGAATAGGAATAGCGAAATTAACGTAAATTAGATAATATGGAAAGACAGCGTGTGGTTTACTAGAGTAATGTCCTAGGAAAGGGCACAATGGCGAACCAAAACTCATGTAGCCTACACCAAATTGTTGGGATAACACCATGTTGAGTTGAGTTATGAATTTCATAATATTGTAAAATAAGGAGAAAGGAAAGCACCCTTCAGATATAATCATACTACAAAATTAATAAGTAAAATTTCTTTCAATCAGGCAATATGGCATACTCAGTGACCTCACCTTGGCAACAGCGTAGACACCGAATAGGCCTGTGTCTTTATAGTTGGTGTTAAAAGCCATCATGCTCTCAGCTATTTCATTGATGGCCACCCTCTGTACAAGCTCTGGACTGTTCACAGTTACCAAACCAATGCAGTTAGTGTCACAAATCTGTTCACAGTTACCAAACCAATGCAGTTAGGGTCACAAATAGGTCACATATGCTGGCCCTTCATTACTTATTGGATGCCTCTCTTCCCGGTACCTATATTTTTATTTATGCAACAAATTCTTTCTGAAAGGTAGAATAAGGAATGGCAGTAGACCATACTTCCTGCCAGTTGCAAAAACACAAAGGTGCATATGTTCTAATGAAGAATCTATGATATGGCCAAAAGCTCATAATACTGATCTCAGAAGCTTAAAAGTAAAAGAGATGGGAAAAGAAGAAGAAACTGACCCCGCATGTTTCCCTCCCCCTGCTTTTTTGTCCCATGCACCCAGCATAGATTGCATGACCATTAGGGCTACGGAATCTGGATCTGTCCATGATGCTCCATTAAATGCAACCGCAAACTGAGCAAGAGGAAGGTCATCATCTTGGATCCGAACCTGAATTTTCAAAGAACAATTACCCGAAACGTTCAAAGTACAGGTATCATGAATACTTGGCACATACACATAATAATGGACTATAAGCCACTTAAATTCTACACACTCACCTCAGAACCAGTGAATATTGCGGGTTCATCTTTAACCAACTGAGATGTAGTGATGGGATTAGCTGATAGCTTCGTAAAGAGCTTCTTCACTTGCTCAACAATATCTTCATGGTTAACAGCTCCAGCAGCAGAAATTACCTGAAGCCAAATCCAAAAACAAAAAACCTTGTAAAAATCTCTCAAAGCTACTATTTCAATGAGGAGCTCATTGAAATTAACAATTGATAACTAACACAAGTACACAACCAGTAACATATTAATTCGTAGTGTGCCATTATATTATAGGATCCACTCAAGTACCATTCTATGAGCGGCATAGTGTGTTGAAATGTAATTTTGAATATGTTCTTTTGTAATTGTCTTGATGTTGCCAGCTGGTCCAAGAATGGTTCTACCCAAAGGTGTGTGCTGGAATGCAGTAGCATGTAAATGGTCAAATATTACTTCCTCGGCATGCCCTTCCACCTGCAAGAAAATTCCAGAAGATAACATGAATTTAGATTAAATCTATAATCACACTGTTCTTTTAACATAATCATGCAGCACAATCAAACTAAATCACACAGCACAAATGTAAAGACAACTTCATTCTTCTCAATCTTCCAAAAAAAAAAGTATATAAGAACACTTTTACCATGATGTTAGTTGTCAATATGTAGATAAACACAAGACTACACCCCAAAAAAATAAAAAAAATGAATGCATCCATTGAATAGAAAACTGCTATGGTAAAGTATTTTCTCTTTTCTCACTTATCAAAAAAAAAGTATTTTAACTTTTACAGTATATACAGATAATATGTTCCATTTAAACTGCTATTGTATTGAATGAATGTGAGGTATGGCTTTTTTTTAACTGGAGTAACCTGTACTATCTAGGCAAGAATGTAATTCTTCTTCTTCAAAATCTTCCCCTCTCCAAAATCTTCTTCTCCTCCTTTCTACCTCTCTTTTTATACTTTCCGTCACATCTATCTTTTCAACCACCATCCCTTGCAAGACAGCCCATTTGTACAAGGCTTCTAAGAATTTCCTGCATCAGTTTGGTATCAACATCAACCTTGACTTCAGATTATTAAACTATATAAACAAACTTCATAGCGGTTCAATACTTCAACCTACACAAACATACTCCCTCCGTCCCACAAAAAGTGTCCCTTTCTGGAAACCTAACTTTTTAAGTGTGTAAATTTTAATTTTTCTATATTATAGAAAAATTTCCAAATATACCCTTTTATGGTGCGACCACATAACTTTAATTGGTTTTATAACTTCAAGGCAATGAGGGTAAAATAGGAATATTTTTAAAAATAGTACATTGGATTTTGAATTGGGACAATTATTTTTTTTTTTTTGATAAGTAAAAATAACATAAATAAAGGCGTTCAAAAGGGAACGCGTCCCAATTACAAAAGTGGAACCGGGACCTTAGTCCCAAAGAATCCAAGAAAGTAATTAAATCATCATAAGAAGAACAAAAGCTCCTCTTCACATAATTGAAAAGAAAACGAAGAATGTAAAGTTTGACCATTGCCGTGGACGACTCTTTCCCTTCGAACATTCTACTATTTCTCTCCTTCCAAATGCACCACCATACACAATGTGGTACAATTCTCCAGAAATCGCGAATATCTCTTCTCACTCGACAACCTCTCCAAACATTGAATTAACTCCTTAGTAGATCGTGGCATAACCCAACACATACCAAACAACCCAACAATAAGATTCCAACAGTTAGTCGCCACAGGGCAATGCAAAAGGAGGTGATCAACGGACTCCTCATCATCCTTGCATAGACAACAACGATTAACGATACAATTGCCCCTTTTTTCTCAAATTATCAATTGTCAGAATCTTTCCCCACACAGCAGTCCAAACAAAGAAAGCCACCCTAGTTGGAGCCATAGACCGCCAAATAGTTTTCCACGGGAAGTCTCGATTAACAAAATTTGACAAACATAAGAACAAAAATCTAACTTCGAAGCGACCATGGGAAGAAGGAGCCCAAATTAAAACATCATTACCTCTGCCAACGCCCTCCTGCCGATACAGAAGATCCAGGAAAACACATACCTCGTCCATCTCCCAATCCTAAAAAGAGCGCCGAAAATGCATATCCCACATAATCCCGCTGCTATCAAGCCGATAACAATGAACTAAGTAGGCGTGTTTATCAACACCAATACTAAATAATCTACGAAATGTACGAGAAAGTGGCTGATCCCCACACCAGAGATCTTCCCAAAACCGAATGCAACGACCATCACGGAGTTTGAATCTGATATAAGCCGAAAAAACATCTCATCCCTTCCGAATAGCCTTCCACATCCCTACTCCTCCCACCAGGGTAACCGGACGTGTAGACCAACCTCCAGCCTCTTCCCCATACCGACAAGAGACTAACCTGCGCCATAGACGATGTCTTTCTCTCCCATATCTCCATAACCATTTACCCAGGAGAGCTTGATTGAAAGGAACTAAATGTCTTATTCCAAGTCCACCCAATTTCCCGAGGCTTACAAACTTCCTCCCATCTGACAAGGTAGTACTTGAACTCATCGCCCTTTCCTCCCCAAAGGAAATCTCTTTGAATTTTTTCAATCTTCTCTGCAACGGAACAAGGGACTTGGAACATAGAAAGAAAATAAGTGAGAAGGCTCGATAACGTACTCTTGATAAGAGTAACTTTACCCCATTTTGACAAATATTGTTTCTTCCAACCTGCCAATCTCTTCGCATACCTGTCAATCACGGAATCCCAACTCCCCACTAACCTTGAAAAGACCCCTAGGGGCAAACCCAAATAAGGAGTAGGGAAATAACTCACCCTGCATCCAAGGACTGCAGCTAAAGAGGAAATATCCTGAACACTGAGACAAGCACACTCTTAGCCACATGGACCTTTAGCCCAGAAACTGCCTAAAAACAGGTCAATACACACCTCAAGTATCGAAGTTGAGACACATCAGCATCACAGAAAACCAAGGTATCATCTGCAAAGAGTAAATGAGAAATCTCCATCTGATGGACTAAAGCTCTACCCACCCTGAAACCCTTTATAAAGCCAAGGTCCTCTGCCCTCTGCATAAGTCTACTTAACCCCTTCATAACAACAAGAAAAAGGAAAGATGACAAAGGAATCCTTGTCTTATAACCCTAGAGCAGCCAAAGAAACCAACGGGAGAACCATTCACAAGAACTGAAAACTTGACAGACGAAAGACAGGTCTCAATCCACTTTCTCCATTTACTTCCAAACCCCATTCTTTGTAACAAATATAGGAGGAAATTCCATGATCATGATCATATGCTTTCTCAATTATTTTGGGACAGCCAAAAATGGAAAGGTGGACACTTTTTGTGGGACGGAGGGAGTATTTTAGATGAAATACAGATATCTATTACATGCGAATATTGTTTCTCATGAGTGATCGAGTGCTCAAATGTGACGCATTTTAGCACCTAAGCGAAGGTATTTTAGTCCATTCATCTATCTTTATTTTCCCGTTTTAGTACTTATTTGTGTTTTTGTCTATTTCAGGTCAATAAGGTTCAAAAGAGCTAAAAATGATTTATTACAACATTTTTTGAGTCAAGCAAAAGTTCCGAGAAGATTTCAAAAAAATCCAAAAAAAGGTCAAAAGTGCAGAATTTCGCCACCAGTGGATTTGGATCGATCAATCGATCGAAGCTTTTCTTCGATCGATCGAAAATATTTTGGATCGACCGAAAATACACTGGCAGCGAGTTGTCTTATTCCCGTGCGCCCGAACTCTACCCATAGTTGTTAAAGGCTCAAGGCGCACAAAAGCGCAAAGGCCTCCTAGAGCCTGAGGCGCAAGGCGAGGCGCGCGCCTGACTGAAGCAAGGCGCACATTGAAAAAAAAAAAAAAAAAAAATTCTATATATAAAGATGCAAAAGTCAACTAAATCAATTACTTAAGTTCAATATTCAACATAATGATACCAAAGCCAACTAAATCAAGTACTTGAGTTCAACAGTAAATAATTAAACATATTAATATAAAGATGCAAAAGTCAACTAATGAGAATTATGAGATAAAACTAAAACAAACATAGACAACAAAATACTAGGCATCTTTTAAAATACAAACTACATTCAAATTCAAGATAGCAAAATAAATTCATGTCAATTATTGGTGTTGTAACAAAATAAACCAGATTTCAATTAGCAAAAAAAACCAGATTTTAATTAGCAAAACCAGATTTCATGTCAATTAGCAAAACCAGATTTCAATTTCAAAGCAATTTTAACATTTCAATTTAAAAAAAAAAATACAGAGCTGCAGTCCAATTCCAAACTTCCAGTTCAGTTCATAAAAAAAAAAAATGTCTGCAGTCCAGTTCCAAAACCGGATTTCAATTTCAAAGCAATATTAACATTTCAAATTTTAAAAAAAAATACAGAGCTGCAGTCCAATTCCAAACTTCCAGTTCAGTTCATAAAAAAAAGAGAAAGAAAAGAAGACACAGAGCTGCAATCCAATTCCAAACTTCCAGTTCAGTTAAGACTGTGCACAGAGAAAGTTTGCTATAAAGAAGAGAAAGAAAAGAAGAAGAAGAAGAACAAGAAGAAGAAGAAGAAGAAGAAGATGAATCTGCAGAAGAAGAGAGAAGAATCTGCCGAAGAAGAGAGAAAAAAAAAGGGAGGAGAAGAAGAAGAAGAGCGAAGAATTCGCTGAAGAAGAGAGAAAAAAAGAGAGAAGAAAAAAAGGGAAGAAAAAGAGAGAAGAAGAAGAAGAAGAGAGAAAAAAAGAGAGTAGAATCGGTAGAAGAAGAGAGAAGAATCTGCCCAAGAGAGAGAAAAGAAGAGAGAAGGAGGAGAGAAAAAAAGAGAGAAGAAGAAGAGAACAGTGACTTACCTGGATTCGGATCGTGATTCGTGAGAGAAAGTCGGCAGATTCAGATCGTGTCTTTGCTTCAAGCCTTCAAATTGCGCCTTTGTCTTTCTCTTTGCTTCAAAGTTTCTCTGGCCGATTCACTTCACTTTTACACTTTCCTTTTGCTTTTATTTTATTCTTTTCTTTTAGTAAAGTTGTCTAAAAAGTATAATAAACAAATAATAAATAATAAACAAACAGCAAATAATAAACTAATAACAAAATACTAACAAATAAAAGGAGGCGCACTTTTTTTATGCCCGAGGCCTCTCGCCTCTTATGTAAAGGCGCACGCCTGTTCAAAGGGCAACGCCTTATGCATACAAAGGCGCATGACTTGCGCCTGTAGGCGCCTTGCGCCTCGGGCGCGCGCCTTCGGCGCTTTTAACAACTATGACTCTACCTACCACATAGTTGCGGGATTAGATATTTTAGGGGCTTATTTTTTGACTTGTTCACTACTCCAAGGACCTTGTATAAAGGGGGAATTGAATCATTTTGTAAAAAATCTTTTGTCTTCAATTTTATTTCATTGTAATTTTATTTTGGACAAACTACAATGAGTC